TCATTGAAGAGACTGCTGATAAGTCCCTTTAATTCTGAGTGGGTGCTGAGCCTGCTTCATAGCTGATGGTTGAGAATGTAGGTGGGACCAAAGGAAATCAAATAGTCTGGTCTTGTGGAGTTAGGTGCCAGCTAGAGGGTTCACCAGTCTTGTGCCTGAGTATCATCTGAAGAACTCCTGGTATCCATTTCCTGCCTCTTTTTTTGCCTCATCAGCACATACCCTTTCCAAGTTGTGCTGTTATGACTTGGAAATGTGCCGTGTTTCTCACTGAGGGTGCTAACACCGTGGAAGAAACCCTTGCAAAATTGGTGCTATAGACTACATGTGTTCCTCTCAAGTACATATGTTAAACCCTAAACCCTAATGTTATGGTATCTGGAAGTGGAGTTGATTAGGTTATAAGAGTAGACTCATGAATAGGATTTGTACCCTTATAAAAGAGGTCCCAGAGAGCTCTCTTCTGCCACCAAGTGAGAACACAGTAAGAAAGCAGCTATTTAATGAGGAAGGGTGACCTCTTGGACATCAAATCTGCTAGAGCCTTGTTCTTGGACTTGCCAGCCTCCAGATCCATGGGAAGTAAATTTCTGCTATTTATAGGGTCCCCAGTCTATGGTAATTTGTTATAGCAGCCTGCATAGACTAAGAAACTCGGGAACACTGAGTTCTAAATGTTGACAAGAGAGAAATCTGGAAATAGGTTTTGGATATCTTTAGGATAGACTCCATATCGAGAGTTTTAGCTACCAAACTGAGTTATGTGAGTTCATAAAAGGAGATAGTGCTTCAATATCTAGTCTTATAAAAAGTCAGCAAAATGTTATTTTGCAAACGAAGACCGCATGAAAATTTTTATGACAGAAACTTCTAAACTCACTGGGGGTAGTCACATGGCTTTGATCAATGTACAGACATGTAAAGACAATGGAGAAAGTCAAGATCAGAGATGGGGATTTGTCACCTGGTGGAGGAAAGCTACTATTGACTCAGAGCTGCTGGTACAGGTGGATTGAAGTGGAGTTTTCTGGTCTATCCAAGAGTGTACATAATTAATAATATGTGAGAAGACTTTGTAAGATTTCTACCTTTCTGGGACATGGAATTTTTTTTTGTATTACTGAATAAACATTAGTTGTTTTTTGTTGAGATGTTCTATGAGTGTGTATATGTGTGTGTTGAAAGGTATCAGTGAACTACTTAGTGTTATCTTCTGTCTCTGACATAACAGAGAATTTGTTTGAAAATTCCAAATTGAGGATATGGTTGACATGAGGGGGGATTTCAGTCATTATCATCTTCAAGAACAAGATAGATTTTCTGCATACATCATCCATTGAGAACTGGGGAGCAGAAAAGAAGTGAGCAGGAATGGCTGGTCTTGAAAGACTGAATTAGTCTGCTCTGGCTGTCATAACAAAGAACCACAGACTGGGTGGCTTACCCAACAGAAATGCATGTTCTCACACTTGTGGAGGTTTGAAGTCAGAGATCAAGCCAGCAGGGTTGGTTTCTTCTGGAGACTTCTCTCCCTGGGTGCAGATGGCTGTCTTCTTTCCGTGTGTTCATATGATTTTCTCTCTGTGTATGTCTGTCTCAATTTATCTTCTTACAAAGATAGAAGTCATATTGGATTAGGCCCTCCCATAAGATCTTGTTTTACTTCAACTGCATCTTTAAAGGATCTGTCTCCAAATACAGTCACATTGTGAGGTTCTGGGAGTTAGGGCTTCAGTGTATGAATTTTAGGACGGACACAATTTAGCTCTGTCCTGACAGTATTGATTCAGAACATGGGTGCTTTGCTAAACCCCAGGATGGTTTGGATGGTACATGCTGCTGCTGAGATATATTCACACATATCTCAACTTGCTGTCTCTCTTCCTTTACCCACCACTTAGCTGGAAAGGTGTCTGGTGCACGTAGGGAGTTGATAAATATTCTTTTCTTTTCTTCCTTCATTTTTCCTTCCTTCCTCTACAAGTTCCTCAGATTACGTTAAATTTTCTAGCCTCGGGTAATTCTATAACTCTTGCCATGGGGTTTTGAATGAATTGCAGTGTCATGAATCCTGGGAATTGGCTTTGATTTTTCCTTATTTTTTGATAGGCTTTTTATTCACCTTATTTCAGATTCCTGCTCTGAAGAGTAGGTGCAGGTTCTAAAACTGCATTCAATTTTAGTTACTTGTACGATGTGAGCACATGTGCAGAAGAGTAGTCTGGAGGGATATGTTTCAAAGTGTAATCCCTATCCAAATGAGAACCCTAGGCTATCCTCTTTTTTGCTCATCTATATTTTTATTTTTTCCTATACTAAGTATCTATTGCTTATTCAATTAAAAAATTAAAATTGCTTTGAAAAGTCATTCCCAGGCTTTCTGCAATATCATTGTAGGGTTTGTTACCTGTTCACTGATGTTGTTAATAATAACAAGAGTCTTATTTGAAATGGCACTTATTTTTGGAAGAGACAGGGACAACTGAGTCACCCATCACATTTTAGGGGAAAGGATGAAACAAGAAACCTCAAGGGAACAGGTGAAGACTTGCTTCTGTCTTGTACTGAAAGTTTTTTGGGTCAAGATATATGTATGTGTATGAGCTCAGATGGAACTTTCCTGAACTCTGGGGGGGCTGGATTTAGCAGTGAGCTTAGGCTCTGGGCCACTTAGCGAGTCGTCCAGCAGAGAGTGGCTAACATATCCTGGGGCTCTGTGTATTTACAGCTGTCCAGCAGGCACACTGTGTCCTGGAGCATGCTGGGCTTGCCTGTCTCTAAGTGGTTTGACTATTCCAAGCACTTTCCAAAAGCACCAACTGCCCAGCTAGTTCATGGCACTGACCTCTCTTGCCTTGATGAGTCACAGCTCATAGATACTCAGGCCGGGCTAAAACATGTCAGTTACTGACTAGGTTCCTCACTGGTTACTGTGTGCTTTTAGAAACTAAAGTTAGCTTTCTGCAATGAAACACTTTTGTGCTGGATTGGGCATATACCTTTTCTTGTCATGCTGTGCACAGTAAGATGCTATTACATTTGTGGATGCAGAGTGTGTGAGAGTGGTGAAGGGGAAAATAGATGAAAGTAGCTGTTTAACTCTGAGTGCACAGCTTGATCAAAAGTGTGTTTAGCACCAAGCTTGGGTGGTTTAGAAGGAAGAATATAGGCTTGGGAGATAGATATCAGATTCTGAATCCAATTTCCATCACGGATTATAATACCTTCTACATGTTGACAAATTATTTACCTTCTTGCTTCAGTTTCCTCATCTATAAAATGGGCACAAAGCAGATTTCCTCTTAGACTTACTATAAGGATAAAGATATAGATCACATGTAATTAACAGCCTGATAGAAAGGAGGTATTCAATATTCTTTTCTCTCTGGTCAGTTTTCATGATTCTTGTTAACAGCTACCATTGACCAAGAATTCTCAAACTTTTTTTTTGGAAAGGGTTAAATAGTAAATATTTCAGACTTTGTGGGCCAGAAGGAAAAACTGAGGATATTTTATACATACTGCCACAAAAAGAGAAAACATTTCTGCCACTTTTTATTGATAAAATTAAGAATATAATCTTAAAAAATAAAGCATATATTTTTGAATATGAGCCTACTAATGAAAAGGAAGGAATTCTTTTGAGGTAGCTAAAATTTCACTTAAATTAGTTCAAAGTTAGTGTTTCCTCTCATCAAATTGATGGCCAACGTTCTCTGTACAAAACATTCTTAACTTACAGGGCATACAAAAACAGGCAGTGGGTTGAATTTACACCACAGGCCACTGTATGGCAGTCTTTACTCTGGAATATTTATTAACAATGCAATGTTTGCTTATGGTTCCACTCCATTCATTAATGATGAGTAAGTAACTTGAAATCATAATTGATATCTAAACAACTGCTGGAGGGCTACATTCTGAGGAGGAGGCCAAAATAATTAAATCCTTAAGACTCTTGGAAGCTGACAGGGTATTTAGTCTTATTTAACTTAAATGATTCTTTAAAGAATATCACCCTTTCTGGCTGAAATCTGGAAAACAGTAGGAAGAAATTAACAGGCCACACAAACTGACCACATACCAAGAAAGATCAAGGAATGAATGATTATGAAAACAGAAAGTTATTCAAACAGATTCTTTCTGCTTTTGATCAAGTATAAAATGGCCATCCCTGTGTTCAGTGATGGTGTAGTTAAAGGAGGGATTAACATTTAGCACAGAACTATCAGAGGGTCCCTTCTTGTTGCTCTTCCACTGATCTGAATGGCCAGATTCAGATTTACCTTGTTAAGTTATCCATCAATACTCTGATGAAAATAGGACCGAAAGAATATCATGGGGGGCATATTCTCAAAGGGAGCACATCTAGGTGAAAGGCCAGTATGTAATGGAAATTAACTGATGGAACAGAGATAAGAGTGGGTACTGAGGTAAAGCAATCTGAGAAAACATCATTGATAACTGAGCTATTGAGAGAGGAATGTCCATGTTTCTGAATATTTGATGGTCATGGACAGAGGTTGAAACAGATAGAACAAGATGAGGCATATGAGAGAGGAACCACTAATTTGAAATTCATTAAAAACCTGTGGGTATTTATTATTACAGTGGTTACCATGCCAATGATGTTAAAGTTAAAATCTTTAGGACAAAGATTTTAACATTTTAATATAGTTGAATTGGCAAAGTGCTTACAACATTTCCTTGGAAAAAAAGCTAGTTTTGAGGCAGAAATATTTTAAAATGTATTATTTTAGCTGAAGAGCAATTTTTAGCCAAAGAGTGTTTAGCAAATGAGTTTTGGTGAATTTAAAAATATTTCTTCTTTGAGCTGATGCTGACACATATTTTCTCCATTTATGTGTTAAGAAAAACCAGAATAAATGCATTTTCTTATTTTAGCTTACAAATTGAAATACACATAAGGATAAATGTCAAAAAGAAAAACTGAAGTATACGTCCAAGCAAAATTTATTGGATGTCTACTCAAGAAAAACACAATGACCTTTGTTTGTAAGATTTCAAAGTCAATTACCTGAAAGCCAGGTATGAATATTTTTCCTTTTAAAATCAGATACAGAGTGTAGAAACAGTAATTTCCTTAAATATGACAGGCAAACAGATATTGAAGTCTTCTCTCATAAATGGCATCAAAGAGAATTATTCATTTATCAGCAAAGCTGCATGCACTTGACTTAATTTCAAACCCAAAGCCTTTAAGGTATAAAGCTGGTTGTGAGTTGGTAGTAATCAAAGCAGGCTACTCAAAGATGTTTGTTCACCTTCTTGCTAATGAGATTCCTCTGAAGTCATATGTATGTACATTTCAATTTGGCTGCTAAGATTTTTAAGTTTATTACATAAATGGTATCTTACAGATTCACGTTACCAAGGGGTGCTTGTGATCTGTGAAATTCATACAGGTAATCTGCTGAAGGTGTTTTAGCTTACTTAAGTGCAGAATAAAGACCAAATTAGGAAATTTCCCTGTTTTCTCAACAACTAAATTGTCTGTACAAAAAAACCCCCAAATATATGTACAAAATTCTAGAGTCTATGTACTGTGAAAAGATCAATCACTATCTATGGAAGAAAATACCATAAAAAGTTATATGTATAAGGTGCTCAAGATCCCAAGATGAATAGTTCTTATGCAAAGTGATAAGAAATACAAAGCTAGTTCTCAGAGTATGGGTAATTCAGGCACTGTTAACTCTATTAAATCTTTCAGGCTCAATGTTTTGCAAATTTCTACCGTAGGGCAGAAAATATAGCCTGAATGATTTAACATTGTCTCTAAAAAGTGCCTGGTTTATTCTTAGGAAGTATTTTAAACACACCAGGAAAATCAGGCTCAACCTATTCCTGTCCTCAAATGTAGCCAGGATTCTGGGTTCCATAGAAGAAAAATAATTATCATAGTAAAAATAATTGTATTGATCATAATCCTTGCTAAAACCAGCCTTAATACTTGCAATGCTTCTGAAGAACTCTATGTCTACAAAATAATATGTGGGATTCTTTTACATTTCCATAAAATGTACAGCATATCATGGACTATATGTTCGCATACAATCTCAGAAGTGTATGTGTACACACAGTGAGTCTTACTAATATTGCTTACAGATACTTTCAAGTGTCTATGTTAGAATAATTCTTTGCACCTCTTCACTAACACTGCTTTTATTTAAATTTTATCAGATAAATAAAACACTAAGAGCTCATTGTTCAAGATGCTGATTATTACATTTTAATATAAAATAGCAATGCGACTTTACAACACAATAGTTTTTCTTCCTTGTCTTCTAGCTAAATCTCTTGTGTTCTGATGATAATTACTAAAGGCTCTTATTCGCTTACTGTTTGCACTTGTATAAAGTACAAAAAAATTGCAGGAAAAGACTTCTATCTGAAAACGTACATTCAATCAACAAAACCACACCCATCCAAATTAACTTTCCTACTCTTGCTTTCGATTTTTGTAATCACTGTGCATACAACAACATATAAGTGCAGGCAAACCATAGCTGAAGTACAGTTGTCATATAGTGTAAACCAGGACACTAGGCAAACTCGTGAAAGGAGAATAAATGCCAAGCTAAGAATGTGAAAATGCAAACCACAGCATTTCAGAATAAACAATCTTCAGGTTGCCTGAGGGGTGAACATCTTCCAGACATGTTGAAATACAACTGTGAGACCCAAGGGCCTCCTGGAGACATTTTCCCTTTTTTGCCTCAACTGTTTTAGTCTTTTTAATTTTAATGATTTTCGTTCTGATTCCACACATTGACTTTTCAGTTTGGGGCAGAAAGCAGGAAAATGCACTCTCTTGTGGATGCCCATGTGTTGTGCCTCCCCAAGGCTCACAGTGGCAGTCACTCTGCTGGTAGTTTGGTGGCAGCAGGTGAAGATGGGGATGGCATATTGGAAACCGTAAGGCATGACAACGAGAGGCCTGTGGTGATGTTTCAGGCAAGTTTATGCAGATGTAGTGCTGAGATGCGGCATAAATAAGGAGGGAGAGTGATTCACAGCCTCTTGACATAGTTTCCTGGAAAAGTACCAAAGAATTTGGTTCTTCTCGAGGTTCCTGAAAATAGAAGCAATAAATGAAAAGGTGTAACAATAATGAAGTATCAGTTCATATCTGTTGGCTTGAACACTTTCACCTAACAAGACTTTACTAAGAGAGCAAGCCAGGGTTTGGAAAGGAAAGAAGAAAACTCACTGTAAAATAATAAAAAAAAAGCCATTTTAGTTATTAGTATGCATTTGCCTCATAAGTAAGTAAGTAAATCAACCAGGCATAATTCCTACTACAGTGAGCTAAACCAAATGCACAAATGGCCATCGTTATGATTGCTTTTGGTTTTGAGTATTTTTCATAAACATTGCTGCACTAAATTGTTTAGTATTTCCATCACAATTAGAGTGAATAGGTTCTTTAAAGTTTTATTTCTCATTGACGCTCTGGAATTTATTGTTTTGGTTTGGTTACTCTTTTCCTTTCTATGCATGTAAGCCATTTTATTTTTCTTCTAGCTATATAAATAGCAGCTGAAGCTTGTGACTGCAAAAATAATCCTTAGTTCTTTCATTATCTCACCATTGCTGGACCTGTCTACGGACCCCTCATCCCCTTATCTTTTTTGCTTTTTTCCTTTCTCCTGTGCCTGTATTTCCTTTGCAACTCCTTCCTCTGTGTCTTGGTATATGATATTTTTGCTACAAGTGCTTTCTTCTTCTCCTTCTCCTCTTCCTACTCCTCTTCTGTGCTGGCAATTGAACTGGGGGGGTCTCATATCTGTTTGCTGAGCTATAGCTGTAGCCCCAGGTCCCTGGTCTTTTTTTAAGATTGTAAGAAAGGGATTGCTTTTGACTTGGTAAGAGTGGAACTCCTCTCCATTCCCACTGTAAACTGAAGCTAAGGAGAATCAATGGGCTGTTAGGGTAGCTACGTCAGACCTAGGAAGTGGGTCAGCTTGAATAATTTTACTCCTTCTCTAATGAGATTTTCACTGTTGAAAACTAACATTTTCTATTGAACAGCAAAATGATATTTCTTATCTGAGAAGCATTTAATTGTTTTTGTTATTGTTAAATTATAGTCTTTCCTGATTGGTACTATTTAAAGAAGTGTTATTTTTTCAGTTGACGTGAGATAAAACTAGCAGAAAATTGCATATACCTGAAGTATACTGAAGTACATTGAAAATGCAATGGTGTTGGGTTTACCCAGTGCATATGAACTCATGGAAGAGCAAAGTCATCATGAACTCAAAGAAAGCTTGATTATCATAGTGAACCATGCATGTGAACAAGTTCAAGCAAATGATGAGATAAGCAATGTGTCTCAAAGAAAGTGCACCTACCCACAAACCATCCATCATCACACTTTTCCATCACATCAATGACATCACTTTCTCTGAGTTCCAGCTCATCTTCATTCCTAGGGGTATAGTTATACAGAGCCTGAAACCTTAAACAGGACAAATGGGTGTGTTTAAAATATTTTTTGCATCTTTGTGAAATTACAGAAGGTAGTACAATATTTATTTTACCTTTAACATTTCTACTGTTACTAACATATTAGGTAGTGTCTTTGGTAAGAATGCAAAGTGAAAGGAAATATTTAGATTTTCATGGGTATTACACTACTCTAACCACATTTCAAAACTCACAGTGAAGAATATTCATGGAAGATTAAAATATTCATGAAATACACTTTAACATTTGTAGGTCAAACCTGAATTTCAATTGTCTAGGCATCTAATGTTTATCATTCAGACACTAAATAACATAAAATAAGTGATATTTATAACATCCAGCTATATTAAAAACAAGAAGAAATCATAGTTTTAGCTAGCCACAGTCATAAGCAAAAAACTGAAGCCTGCAAATGGAATTTTCAAATGATTCTAAATTGAAATGTACAAAGTGTTTCAGGTGCATGACTTCTAAATCATTAGGTGGGAATTATTATAAAAGAGAAGGCTATTTTTTCATCAAAGGGAATTCTTTAAAGCAGATTATGTTTCTAGTTTGAATTTAGTTAAAGAATTCCTTAAATTCATTAAGGATTTAAAATTTGAAAACCAGATGCAATTCCCCTAAAAGATTGAGTGGATATTGTGTTTTTGGTTATTCCTGAGCTAATCTCAAGCAGTAGATTATGGACAGATATCTTTTTTTAAAAATGGGTCCTGAAAAAATTGTGTTTGATTTAAAAACTCTCCTTTGAAATAAATTTATATAAAGAAGAATTACTGATTGAACACTACTATTTTCCTTTCCCTGTCTGAATTTTTTGAGAGAACTATTATGGTGACACTGATTACTAATGAATTTAGACATGAGTTTATAGTAACAAAATTGCATGTCTTTTTGTGACTATTAACATGGACTGACATTTTGGAAAGTAAAGACGGAAGTTATAGCAACTAAGAAGGTCAAGAAGAATTCGGTGTGAGCTAACATGAAAACTTCATATTATCAAATATTACATAATGTAATCATGTACAGGATTATGGCTCAGTGAACACAAAAATAGCATTTAGGGCACTTGAAATTTATTGAAGTTTCCTTTGAAAAGCTGGTAATAATGAATTCTGCTCAGGTCAAGTATGATGAATTTCTAATTATATTAGAGTCAAAAAATCATATTTTGGTAGGATAAACTGTTCTGTCACTTGAACTCAAATACCATGTTATAAATATGGAATGCTAATCCACTGGCTTCCTTTCTGTTCCTGAACTTTCCCAAGATTGGTGGGTCCGAGTAAAGTGGGCTTTAGGGGGTTTTAGACAGAAGTGGTAAGTGGTAGGATGTGGTACCTTAACACTGTCCTGTAAACAATGTTGTCATCCCTGGCCAGGTACCAAAGCCTGAAATTCCAACATTAGAGATTTCTTGCCCTGTTAATATTTTGTTCTCTTAGTACACTGTTTTAGCCATGTGTGGGCTTTTGAGAAGAGTCTTCTGGCTGTGGCCAGAATAGAGAAAGATAGCCAAAATCCCAAACCAGTGACAGGTGTTGACACAAACATACCTGATGTGGATGTGTGCATGGGCCAGCTTAGTAGGAGTTGTAAAATTATTTTGTTGTTTCTATTGATTTGGTTTTGAGGCCAGTCAGGCGAAAAAATGGTATTTTTTGTATATTCATGGGAAAAGTTGATTTCAACAAGGCCCCCTTTCCATTTTCTCACTTGAAGGAGAGCCATTCCTGGTCTGCTATTTTGAAAAACCGAGTCTCTGACTGAGCTTCTCAGCCTCTACCCTTCACCCAGGTCCATCTCCAGCCACGTACAGAGACAGGCCTGTTTAAGGTCACAAACTCCAGTTGCTTAAATAATCTCAGGATCCCCAGAGCTAGCAAACCAAAATTGGCATGGATTCCTACTTCAGTTTTGTATTACGGAAGTCAGTGTGTCTATCAAAATTGACTTACCCTTCTGGTTTAATTAAACCACAAAGAAAAAGGAGCTTCATGGAAATATAAACAAACCTTCCGGGAAATCCCCCTACTTCTGCTGGCTTCCAAAGTCAGTATCGTATGACAGGAAATGTAGTTGAATTACAATAAAAAATGCTGTTTTGATAGATGTGTTGGTGAGATGAATATGGTGGTGGGGTCACAATGTCTCAAAAGGGAATTTGTCTTTTAACTAGGGATGCTGAGCCAAACTGGAAACTGTAGCTTGCATCTGTTTCTAGAACATATCCCACCTAAACTGAATTGTAGCAACATAACATTATGTTTCTATTTTTGCCTCAAATCCTACTTTTTTAAATGAATAAGGTTAAGCAACACAGCATAATCCTGCTAATGAAAGTTGTAATCAAATACAAATTTAGGCTTGGCAGGATAGCTTGTGCATACAATCTTAGCACCTGGGAGGCTTAAGCAGGAAGATCTAAAGTTTGAGGCTAGCCTGGGCTGCACTGGGACCCTGTCTCAAAAAAAAAGAAAGAATTTTTTATAATGTTCAAGGCAGGACTTGGAATATGTGCCTTCTCCCACCTGAGGGCTCTGTGGTTTTTAACAAACAAATGACCACAGTTGCATGTGGCATAAAACGTATAACAGAATACAAACAATGTGTAATTCTTCAGCTCCTTAAAAGCTGTTTACTAGAACATGCTGGTAAAGCATTAAACCTAAACAGTGCTGGAATTTGTTTTTGTGATCTGATCGTATCACTGTTTGCATAAATAAGAGAAAACTTTAGTGTTACAAGTCATAAAGTTTTCCGATACATGAGATTTTAAATGATCGTTTCTTCTAACCTGTTCTGTTTGTGGTATGGTCTTTTCTTCAACAAGAATATCTTTCTATGAGAGTCAGTCTCAGAGAGAGTTCTAAAGAGCCTGCTTTTAACTAGGTTGAGGTTTATGAGGAGCAAGGAGAGTTCAATGCTTCTGAAGACACCAGGCCACATGCCACCCTGGAGGAGTCATCTTTTGTCAGGTGAGCACAGCGAGGGCAGGAAGCTGAAGGTCCACTCTGGGTGCCTAGGCCACAACTGCTCCTTCTTAGTGCCTAGCTTCTGACTCAGAACAGGTAGGAGCTGATAGGCATTGGATAACCTCTGAGCATCTGATGAAATGGGCCAAAGAGGACACAAAAGAGAACCTAAGTTGATTTATGTATCAGAAATATTTGGAAGGAATAAGGCATATTCCTGGACTGTGGAAATAACATGTAACTGAATGATAGTGAAGTTTTGTGTGTGTGTGTGTGTGTGTGTGTGTGTGTGTGCTGGGGATCAAAACTAGGTCCTTGTACACACTAGTCAAGCGCTCTGCCGCTAGGCCATATTCCTGGCTCACAGGGGCTGTTTTGATACTGCCATTCTCAACCGACACTTTGAAACATGTAACTTTGGAATTATGTTATTAAAAGTAGACTTTAGGTCTGCTTTCAAAGTATCCAAGGAGTTAGAAAAACAATGCTAGGACATGTTTTGCATGTCTTTAAAGCTATAGTTACTAGTTACGTAGCCAGCAAAAGAGACAGAATTATAAATCTTAGGAATCACTCCAGCCCTGGAAGGTTTTCTTAGTGCATAAATTAAAACCTCTGTTTTCTTTTAAGCATTAGCTTTTGATCTTTGCCAGAAAAGATGCAGACCACTGCAATTCTCTAAAGTAGGAGATCTCTTAGCTACTTTGATCTCTTTCACTTGTAAAGTTGTACCATCTTATGTTTTGGTGTATCAATTGTCCATTTTGTGGGTCAAAGTTAGTCTTGAATTTAGAAGATAAGAAGAATACTTACGGTTCCCCCCCACCGTGAATGTTTTCATGAGTGAACACAGGACGCTGTGGCTGAAATGAAATGATTTTCAATGTAATCAATGTTTAAATTGGTACTAATTAAAAGATAATTTGGATAATGGCATGGCACTTTTCTTGACATTTAATATTTCCTGTTGTAAAAAACCAAGAGGAAGAAAAGAAAACCACCAAATCAAGGGTTTCTGTAGGATTAATAATTAAAATATTTTGAAGGGTGCTTTAAATTAAATCAAGATAACCAAGGTTCAGATGTTTTGAACACATCCACAATCTAGTCTCCTCAAGCTTTAAGGAAACGTCCAGTTTTGGTCCCATTGATTTTTCAAAGGTCAGGAATATGGCAAAAACATGGACAGCAGACCACTAGAATAGGGCAGATGGACATCTCCATTCAATCTTATTCTCCAGGGTTTTCTCAAACAAGCAGGAAGGAAGCCACATTTAGTTTAACAGCAAAATATCCACATTCACTTTAAACTTTTCCTGCACAGACGACATTTTCACGTACAGTACAGATGAGGATATCAATAGGCAGACGTCCCATGCTACATGTGAATTGACATTCTCTGTTCTCAGTGTGGACAATGCACATGCATTTTATAAAGAGAAAACAGAAATTTAAATAGAATGCAACAAACAATATCCAGGGAACATGTAACATTTTACCTTAGAAGAGAAATATTGGTAGAAATTCCCAGTGCACTGAACTCTCAAAAGAGTTTCCTTGCTTTTTAAACTAAGCATCAAGACCAGTATCTGTAATAGATACTTATAATATTGGAAATGACAAGCCTCAGCATCCCACATAGGCACATATATATATTTCAGTGAATGAAAGTTAACACATTTGTTGAATACACAAACTCAGCGTACTTTCTATTGATTATTTAAGCATTACTTTTTAGGGAAAGAAATTCTTACAACTCATTCACAACATCTTTCAAAAGCATTCTCTTCTAAATGATAGCTGTATGGTGAAATAACCAAATCAGGTTTGTGTGGCAATTATACTTGACTCTTTGATGACATTAGATCCATGTCCGCAGACATTAGACACAGTTCTTGGATTCCCATAGTTATAAGAGGATTATTGATAGGCTGAAAAGTTTTCTTGGAAATTGTCCATGGAAACCCCAATGGCTGAAGCTTGGGTAGGGAATTCTAATGTTCCCTTCAGTCTGAGTCTATGACTGACCCTTCCTAAACTCTTTATCCACCCTCTTCCTATCACATTGTCTATCCAGCAAAGACTCAGTGCTTTCACCACTAAAACTTCAAGCTTTGAATCTATTAACTGGAAGCATTTATCAACAGTATTATTAGAAATTGTACTCAATGGTCTGTACATGGAATACATAAACTTAAAATTAAGGAGTGGCTAAGAATTATTGGCCATATGGGTAACTTAAGGCCATATAATAGTCTGTATAAAATTAATAACCATAATTAAAATTATATTATCAAATTATAAAATATATTATTTTAAAGTGATTGATTAAACCACCTTCCAGCCATTTTGAGATCATTTAGGATATTATTAAGTCAATCTAAATATATAAAAAGAGGCAACTATAAGTCATCCACAAACCTATGTACTACATTTCTTCTAGTTCTTTCTAACCTAGAAGAACTTGATACATATATATCATGTAAAAGTAAGAGTTGTAAGTATTAATTGCTATTAATGGTTTTGTAATAATTTCTGTCTTCTTTTTCATTTTAAATGACTTCAGAATATTGTTTCCTCACATAAGTATCTATATACTATAGTTTACTTAACCATTTCTCTCTCTTTTCTTTTTGAAGCTAAGATTGGTCTAATTTTTTTTGCTATCATAAGTAGCAATCTATAAACATTCTTATTCAAAGAGTGACTTTTTCCTTTTGAACTATTACTTAGGATATACTTCTAGGAATAAAATTTCTGGTCAAAGAGTATGCATTAAGGCCACGTGATTTTGAAATGTTCATGCTAGTCACTTGAAAATACTATGTATGTAAGAGGAACTTAAAAAAAACTCTAATATGCATACTTCAAATGACAATCAAGATAGGGACTGTTTTCTTTTTCTTTTTTCTCTTTCTTTTGGTGGTAATGGGGTTTGAACTCAGGCCCTCACACTTGCTTGACAGGCACTCTATCACTTAAGCTACTCTTCCAGTCCTGTTTTTGCATTGGATTTTTTTGAGATATTGTCTCATGAAGTAATACCTAGGGATAAGTTTGAACCTCGATCCTCCTGCTCTCTGCCTCATGCATAGCTAGGATTATAAGCATGAGCCTGGCTATTACTGTTTTCTTACTAAAACAATCACAGCACTATCTACAATGCATAACATAGTTATAGATAAGAAAATATTTGCTGTTTTATTAAGAGAAAAAGTTCGTAAAACATATTTTATTAATGCTCCCAAAATGGCATGTTTATTTCCACATTCTGGTATTTTTGATATTGTGTAAAACTTGTGGATTTTACATATGGCATCTGGTGCTTGGGAAAGCTGGTTGATCTAATTTCATTTCCTCCTCTTTTGTTAAAATGTGAATATCACTTTAAAAACCAAGTGTTAATGTAATACAGTCTGCTTTTAAAGTCAGCATATCCCCTTTCAGTTATCATCACTGTAACCCTACTGTCCACTGCCTTCAGTTCACTCCACCTCCCAAATCATTTAAATGCACTGTCCTTTTGACATTAGGAGACCTGGGCAGCCCGTGGTGTTCCTGTTTGTGTGACAATAATGCCCTTGCCTTTAGTCACCTTTTCCAATGTCTTCCACCCCCTTCATACCCTTCAAAACACACCCCTTTTTTCCTTCTAAATCATCCATTTTCTGTCCTGTCCACATGTTCATGCCAGAATTTAATCACAGCTTTATTAGCACAAAAATTGCATTATCTCTTAAAATGCTGGGTTTTAAAACTCTTCAAAGCTTGAACAGGAATCACCCTTGTGTTGACAGATAACTAGCAGCCGGTTTTTCAGGAAAAGTGACTAATTACAGTTTTGAATTAATTCATTTAAAAAGCTTTTACCAATAGAGGAATAAGTAGAGTTAGTTTTTGTTTGTTTGTTTGTTTCTGTTTAGGGTGTTGACTACTATCTTACCTCCTGAATGTATCTCAGATTCCTTCTCTTTAACATCTTGCTTCCCTCAGGGAACCCATAAAGGAATCCACATTTCCTCAACTATTTTTCCTCTGTTATATAAAGGTGCCTCTTCTTAACCTTACACATTTGGTTATCAAACAGCTGTGATAATTGGCATTTGTTGGTTAATTCTCATGTGTCTTAGTCACGTAACCACCATAATGGTAATAATTCAACTTCATTTTATAGATTAGTAAACCAAAACTCAAAGATATTGGAGAATTTCTTAATGTGACAGGTAGATTAAAAAAAATAAGTAGAATGATAATTTTGACTAGCACTCTATTGAACAAAATATTATTCTGATGGAATAAATGGCCTAACTTGGTGAAAATCAGCATCTTTATTTTGTCCTTAAAAGAGGTCTTTAGGTATTCAAGCAAATTATCTTAGATGACTAGCTTTTGCTTTCTACCTTGGTGCTGAAACTCAATGTGTAGAGATCCTAAGAAAAGATTGGTATGGAATCTCCACTCTGTTGTCACCTAACAGTTATTAGTGGTGGTAGCCTTGAGCTGAAAGTTGTTTTTGCCTTTGGTCAGCTCTGGCCAAATTCCTTCAGCCTGGATTAATTTTGAAAGGATATTTTAAAGACCACAATGATGATAACTATCTGTTTTTCTGGCTATGCTCTTCCCTTCCCACGTTTTAAATTCTTGAGGAGGAATCACTTGTTAGTCACCAGTATTTTTTTCCCTGTTCATTTCTATTTTAACTATCTGCTCAGGCATTTCTATTACTCATAACTTCTTAGTAGCTCTGAGATAAATATAGAACAATATACATTTGTGACATTCACATGACCTGTGAGCTTAAGAAGATGGTTTTCAAGTTAACACATCAATATCACTGTGCTGGGAATTTTGAGCAAGAATTGTATCATACTTATATTTCCTTGATGAGTCTTAAGGGTACAATAAAAATTAAAAATATATAATGAAGCATGATCTATTTTCATATTTAACCTTTTCCTTAATAACAATCATTTTTTTCTCTTTTAATGTGGCTATTTTTTAAGTTAGCTTGTATTATACAAAATAATGAGTTTCATTATGTATTTTCATACATATAGCATACTTTGATTTTTTAAATGCTGTCAAAACTGCATACAAAAGAAGTAGGTTTCAAACATATGCTAATTTTCAAAGTCAGCATCAACTATAAGCCAGTGTTCATAAGGAAGCTTGAGAATATCCAATATCCTTGATTCTTTGGCATCAGAAGAATATATACTTCCCATATGGTGAGATATAGACTGAAAACCATTATTTGTGCTTCTGCAAAGGTATCTCTCAAAAGTTAGCTGTATCTTTTATTAGTCAATTTCTTAAATAAGCATGCCCTGTTACTTCAAATACTAATGTGGAAAAATCTTTGAAATCATTATGAGCAGTTCTTCAGAACTAAGGTTCCTAAGTCATTTTTTTCCCAAAAATATTAATTGTAGTCCTTGTCAAGTAGACAAGTACCAGAATTAGATGACATTCTCCTAATAGCAGTACTATATTTGTTTATAGGCTTATTTTTTCTTAACTTATGAAAACATTACTTTGCATAAGTTGAAAGAAAATAGCATATTTATGGTCCACACAAACACATGTAAACTAACATACAAACTCTTAATGCAAAAATATGACAAAAAACCCCTCGGACAACCCAAAGCTTACCATCCTACTCATGCAATTTATGGATGCATTCTAATAATTTTGGAAAAAGCTTTCTTTTTTGTGTTGGCTCTGGAAGAACATTTTGTGGAGTCTAAGAATCTCTACAAATCAACATTCCTCTCTCTATGGCAACACAAGTTGCTACTTTAGCAACAAAAGCAGGTCTTACTATGCAAAGCAAGAAAGCACGAAATGGTGTAAATATAGAACA